GTCACTTCTTGAAACAGTGATCATTTTTTAAAAACTAAACAGATCGCCGTGCATTTTTTGGAGCTGGCGCACAGACATTTTGGACGAGTTTCCTCTTAACAAACCATATCAAACTTCACCCTGATGGCCTCCAAACGTTAATTCTTTCATGCAACTGTAACTGCAAATTCACCATCATTTATAAACATACACGGCTGAGACTTTCAAAGCCCGCTTGAGGTTTTTAGACCTTTTTTCATTTCATTCTCTTGGTTTTTGTTTGTTTTTTAAGAAAAAAAACCAACTTGGATTTGTTCTATGTTTCCAACTAGATATTTGGAAGACATTGCTGTTTTTTTCTGACATCTGAACACCAACCAGTTCCCAACCTGCTGCTGAACGAGACTCTAGTAAACAGCTTTCCTTTGTTCGTTTCTCTCCCTGACAGATTGAAAAACACGGGGCCAAAGCCCCAAGTTCTTACTTAGGCAAAACTCTCATTGGAAACCAGGAGAAACTTTGCCTGAATCAGAACTGAAGAACTGCTCTAGGTTTGACCTCGCAGATATCTGAAAGCCAACAGAGATATTTAAATGCTTACTTATTTTATGAGTAGCTGTTTAGATTATTAAAGCTGTATTTTTTTTCTATTGCTATTTATTAACCTTTCTAGTCCTCTCTTCTTGGGTCATGCTTGCAGACTAGTCAAAGTCACCTTTTCTTTGTATAAATAGACAGGCCGTGTCCACATGAGCACGCGCTTGAGTTTTGCAGCACGTCCAAGGCTTTTGAGGTGCCGCAAAAGGCACCCCATGCACGTGATTTGGTTCTCCACACTGCATATTTGCACAGATTTAGATACTGGGAAATCCTAGTATCAAAAAGCAGTACATGGGGGAGGGGGAAAAATAGTGGTGCACATGGCAGCAGTGTGCACCATCCAAAACCAGAGCCATGGATGGCCAGCGTCATGCTCCAGCTGCCAGCCAGGCTCCATGAGCTAGGATAGCTACCGCTGGAGCCCTGGGAGGCCCCCAGGATCCCAGTTAAGGCTGCTGGGGCCAGCCCAGATGCTGGCCCCAGCCTCCTCTACCCCACCGGAGCATTTTTCCCCGTGCTAAACCCACGCACAGGGGTGTACGCCAGGGCAAAGAGCAGCGGCATGAATTTGTGCCGCTGCTTTTTTCCCCGCAGCAACTGGACACCCTTGCTCATGGGGATGCGGCTGTAGATTTTATTCAGTCTGTAAAAGCACATATCCACTCTACTTTTTCTTTGAGGTCATCTCCAGGCAAATTTGCTTTGGATTGTGCCTATGCTTGGATTTTTTTCTAAACTTGAAAGAGGTGCCAATTAGCATTGACATGATATGACTGAACTGCTGTATAGAGAGGCTACACAAATGATTAAACTTTTTGTCTTCCGGATCAAATGTTTGTGTTTTGCCTGCCTTGGAATTTATAAGTGTAAGATTCAACCCTGGGCTATTAGTATGGGTTAAAACACCTTCAGGCATTTCAGGTGAGGATATCGGGGTCAAGCTGTCCCTTATAGAGTCACTAAATCAGAGTTGCGTAGGCTCTTAGGAGAACCAGTTCTCTCTGGCAGATGCTGTACTATACAAGTGTTGACATATTCAAACAGGCACCTCCTGGTGTGCAGGGCTGACTTGGGTTTGCACGTGGTGCTGGAGGGGATCGCCATTTGATTTTTTTAAAAAGGTTTCTGTTGGAATTAATACAGTGGAAATGTTTGTATGGATCTTAATGCTTTCAACACGCTTAGGGCTGTCGGTATCGGGAACTTTTCCAGGGTAGCTCTTCCAGAACAGCTGTTTGTGTGGACTTTCCATTCTGGAGTCAAAGTGATTTTTCTTTCATAATAATTACTCCCCTTCAGAAGTGCGCTAATCATTTTGGAGTAAATGTGAAGTGCCAGAAGAGAGGTTTCTGCATGGGATGCTAATCCACAAGGCCAAGTTCTTTGTGTAGACAAGCCCTTTGGTTTATACACCTTATATTTAGTGCTGAATTTCACCCTTCCAGTCAAACAATATCATGCAAATGCATGCAATATAATGCCCATGACCTTTTTTGTTGCATACAAATTTCCTGTAAATCCTAGGGTGGTTGTATCGGTATGGCCTGTGCACACATCTTTCAGGAAAATCTGAGATGGACAGCATGCTTTGTGGTTCTTTGAGCCCTTTAAATTCTAGAATTAAAATCTTCCCCCCTGTTCAAGTCAATGGGAGTGCTACTATTGATGCTTTTATTAAGTGAAGTTTTCTACCAGATTGAATTGTTAGGCTTCAAACCCACTAAAAATGACATGACCCAAACTGCTGCAGATGCAGCTGGCAAAAAAAAAACACAAGTCTTTTCTTTTATTCCCACCTCCCTATCCTCCTTTTGTTTTATTTTAGTTATTCTAAAAGCATGGGAACTGGTCATTACTTTTCCCAGGGGACTTCTAAGGAGCAAACAAAGACTCTAGAGCCATATTGTACCCTTGATGGTAAAAATCTGTGGGTTTATACTTATTATCTATCTAATGCTGCCTCTGTTTCCATAGAGACTTTATAAATAGAATAAAATTTAAATCACGGTTTCCTGAAGCAGAGACTCAGCTCTGTGCATTTGTTATATATTTCTCAGGTAGAGCCCCAGGGCTATAAATCTTCATTATGCCTGGATAACAGGAAGATGAAAGTTTTTGCCCTATAGTGTTCTAGTGGCTGGCAACGTAGGATCCAAGTGCTATAAATATCACCCTAATTCGTTGTAGCTATCGGAGGCAAGGTGAAAATTAGGATCTCTGCGAATGCATATGCTAGGGTGGTTCTTTAGGGAAATGAAATTCTCTTTTGGCCGGCACGAATGGCTTCAGCCATCTGCAAGCTCCTGTAGGATTTGTGTTGCAAACACAGCTGTCTTTCCAGAAAGTGGTGGGTTTTTTGAGTGACCGCAGTGGCTAAACAGCCCTGAGTTGTGAGCCCACTTCACGTTTCCTTCCCGTGGGTAAAAGATGCTGAATCGATGGCCCTGAGAGAGGATCCTGCCCTCGTCGCAGTCAGCAGTAACGCTCCCACGGACTTCAGGATGGGAGGATTTTAATCCTAGAATTGTAAAGTGCTTTAATGAACCACAAAGCAGGGACCAAACAGTTTACAGCAGCATAGGTTTTCCCTCCTGCTCTTCTGCCACAAGCCACAGATCTGATCTGGAGGAGCTGGTCTGGGGATGAGAGGACAATTTGGTCTCCTTCATTCATTAAGTCCATGGCCAGCTGCAATGATAAGCTGTGAGATATGGTCATCCCTCCCACTGGGAGCTGGACTGAAACCAACTGCACACATTTCTCAGAGGCTGCTGAGCAGCCATCAAATGGCAGCACCCTTTAGGCATTGTCTCTGCCCTCAAGCTATAAAGGAACGGTGGATGTAGAAGCTGAAGGCAATTAGCTAAATGCTCGTCTCACCTAGGTAAAAATAGGAGCATTGAACTAACTCCAGTGGAGATCGTTTGGATTTAAACTGAAGTGACCAAGGGTGCATTCGGACTCTCTGCATCTCATGGCTGGCTCTTTTCTGTTGCCTTTACTAATGTCCATCTAGGGCATGGCAAGGTCGATGCATCATCCAGATGGACACCAGCTTTTCAGGTCCCATAGTGGAGACCCAGCTAATGTCAAAAGCTGGCCATCTGCTTGAGTCCCAGCAGTCTGTAGGCCTGAACATCTTGGTGTGTCTGGCAAGGAAAATGCCTGAAGTCCATCTCAGAGGAAATTTGTGCGCAGGGTGAGGAGATCTCATGTCCAGGGGGCTCATCGCATCATTGTTTCTGCCTTTCCAGAAGAAAGTGGTAATGACATTGGGGCTAAAACTGGTGCCATGTATTTTCTGGAGCATGATCAGAGCAGGTGGTGGTTTGCAACGCGTTGGCAGATGCATTTCAAAAGCTAGAAGTAACCATGGTGTTTCCAGCTAAAGAAAACGCTTGGCTTTTTTTAGGTTGCCATTGTGCAGGGCAGGTTGCACAAACCACACGGGCTTGTTGGAAGTTACCCGTGTGCTTTGCTCGTGTGTTCTGGGCTAGTCTGAGGTCCCGACTCTGCCCTGACCTGGGGGTACTGCTGCTGACTCCTCTGCAGTGGGGCAAAAATTCAGGCTACAGGACAGGTCCCCTTATCAAGGTGAATAACTGATCCCTGTGGCTGCAGCTGGCACGGTGTGCCTTGCCATCTGCAAGCAAGGGTGGCAGCTAGTTAGGGACTCTGCCTGTGCAGTGTCTGTGGCAGCCAGGCTCCAGGAGGAGAGCAGGAGGCACTCGCTGATCCTGCCATCGGATTTATTAGCGCTGCGCCCTTGCACCCAGTCCCTGGCACTCTAGGTGCAAGTCAGGCTGCAACATGATGCAGGGGTGCCCGACCAGAAGAAATCATGATCCTGCCCCTGCGCCCTTGGGGTCAGAGTAGGACCCCTTCCGGGTGTGCTAAGACTCTCTGGATTTATCCTGGGCTTTGGGGATCTTTTGTAAGTGATTCCCATTTCCTTTTGTCCCCTCACGCTCTCCCCTCTTGCCATGTAGCACACTCCCTTTGACTTGGGTAAAGAAGATGCCATGACCAGACTCTTCTCCCAGGACTGTCCAGAAAGCCAGTAAGTTTGCAGAGAATACGACAGGAAGTCTTCCCTCAAGTGATTTAGGTGTGTGCACAAGCCACGAACGACACCCTTGGCGGGGCTTTCCCAACAGGCCGTCTTATACCTTAGGTGGGAAATTGAGGCTTGGGGTCTGAGTAATCCAGTTACTCCTGTAGGAGGACCAGTTATCCTTTGTGTGCCTCAGTTTCCCTGCCTGTAAATTGGGAATAATTATACGCATCGTCCACCTTAGGGGTGTGCCACGAGGTGATGTTTTTAGGGCACTGCCATAAACACGCTGATTCAGACTAGGCCTGGGGAGTCCACGGTACAATATTAATGATTTGTGTCCTTGGTTTTCTTTCCTCTCTCTCAGAAAATTCAGCAGCTGTCCGAAGGCTCCATGTTTGGCCATGGCTTGAAGCACCTTTTCCACAGCCGCCGGAGGTCCCGGGAGCGGGAGCACCAGAACTCCCAGGACTCGCTGCCGCCGCACTACGGGATGTCTGACCACGACTCCCCTGACGAGAAAGAACGCTCCCCGGAGATGCACCGGGTCTCCTACGCCATGTCCCTGCATGACCTCCCTGTGCGCCCCACTGCCTTCAACAGGGTGCTGCAGCAGATCCGCTCCCGCCCGTCCATCAAGAGAGGGACCAGCTTGCACAGCGGCAGCCGCCGGACCAAAAGCGGCTCCTTGGACCCCCAGAAAGGCAGCCCCCATCTCCTCCGGAAGGCTCCGCAGGACAGTAGCCTCACCGCCATACTGCATCAGCACCAGGGCCGGCCGAGGTCCTCCTCCACCACGGACACTGCCATCCTTCTGGCCGAGAGTGGAGCCGTGTACCTCCTCGCGGAGGAGTCGGAGTGCCTTGCTGACAAGGTAAGGCTGAACCGTGAAGGGACGTGAGGCTGGGTGCCCCAAGCTGGCTCATTGTGCAGGATCCAGTGGGGCCTAATTTCCACAATCCAATGGCCTCAGCTTTCATATGGGGGCAGCATCTCTGTTTCAAAGATGGGGAGGAGCAGCCTGCCCCATTTTAGGTATATGAGGTGCATCTCTCAGGCTCCAAGCACATTGTCAAGGTGGCTGCTTTAGGGCAAAGTTTGGTGCTCACGTTAGGACATGAGATTTTGCCAGATGGCTGTAATTGGCTCTGTCTCCCTAGATTTAACCCCTCTGGCTGCAGTCTGGACACTTAAGAGGTCCTGTCCTCAAGGTGCAGTTGCTCCTTGCTTGGGAAGTGAGCCGTGGAAGGAGTAGATGCCAGTCTACAGGGCCCAGCAGGAGCATGATAATTAAGGACTCAGGGAGTCGTATGCTGCAGCCACAAAAAAGGGCTCACCCTGCTCCACTACTTGCTTTTTGGGGAGCACCAGCGTTCCCTTGGAGGCAGCCCGTCCCTAAGCACATGCAAGGATGCTCTGCATGGGTTGGGTTAGTCTTTGCTCTCTCCCATGAGGCTGCTGTTTTGGAAAGCCCTTTGTGGGGCAGACGGTTTTCCCGCAAAGCAAGGTGACTCCTGGGAGGAGTTTGGTCATCTCCTATGGCTGTCAGTCAGGCCAGACTCAGCACAGAGGGATACTTGGAGAGAGTTGAGGAAGGAGGCAGAGGGGCCCGGGCTGAAAATGCACCATCCCTTGAGTCACACTGAGGACATCAAGGGGAAGTGAAATGTTTGGGCTCTGAGGAAATGTGATTCTCCGCCCCACACACAGGCTCACACTTCTTCACCGGTTACTGTTTGTCTGCAGAAGCCTGCCTGGGTTGACACCTTATCCAGCAGGCTTTACGTGCTATGCCCAGCCATTTCTCATAGCTCGCATAGTGGTCACTCAACTCACGTCAGACTGTGGGCACCTGCTTAATCCCGCAGTCCCTGGGTATGAGTATTCACGCCCATAAAGGGACCGTCACACGGCTGGTATCGCCTCCTGTTACTACCAGCATTGGTCTCCATGCTTATTTTTAACTCACAGCCCCCAAACCCTTTGCAGTCATTTGGTGCAATGTACTCGTGGCCTGGCCGGTTGTGGTCTTGTTTGGCAAGGTGTTTAGTTACAGGACACCCTTCTGCTCTGTGCGACAGCCACGCTGGCCCGCTGGAGTCGATGGGACCACAGGATGTAACTGAGACAGGCGGTGGCTGCATAATTACAGTCAGAGGTCTGTAGGTTGATTTGCAGAGTGAAATGGCCATGAGCTCTTCAACACACACCCTGCTGCTTGGTCCAGCCACTTGTATCTCTTGAGCATGAAGCTGGGGCTTTGCATAACTCCTCCGAGAAACCAGGCAGCATGCAAGGACTGATTCTGCACCTTCAACACCCACTGAAAATACTGAGCATTGAGGTCATTCAGTACCTTGCAGGATGGGGGCTTCGGCCTACTGACTCTGAAGCAGCTTCTGTGTCAGATGCACACCAAGAAGCAGACTTTTGCATTCAGTCGGCCTGCGTGCTGTGTTTCTGAGGGACCCATCACCTGGATGACTAGCCTGGATCGCACATACCAGTCATGGCTGCACCAGTAATGCCCAGATGAATAGTCCCTGATCTGCTGCTAACAGATACGCCGAAGGGACACTCTTGCCTCTGTCTGTTGGAAATAGGGTTTGTTAGCGTAAACACAAAACTGGTAGTGATCTCAGTAAGGGCACTGATTTCTTTGGAGCCGGACAATAATCTGGAGTAAACTTTTATCCTACCCTTTGGCCCAACAGCAAACACCCCAGGAGCTCAGAGGGGAGCATGCCCGTGTCATGAGAAGAGCTTACCTCCCTTTCCCCAGAACAGTGGTGCTGAATAAACCCACTTTGAATCTCCGCTGAGAAAGCAAATAGTTCAGCGAACACCTACTTGACATGCCAGGCTCATACCTCACAGCCGACTGTCTCCCCAGAGGTTCGGTCAGCAGCTTCCCAGTGGCCACGTGTGACAGGGCCCATCTGTCAGGTAGAGGAGCCTAAAGCACCTTTTGGAAAGGACACCTTTCCATCAGAGCCACGCAGAGGGAGAAGCACTGGTAATTATCCCAGCCTGTGAGATGAATTTTAATGCTAACTAAGCAGCTCACCCTCACTGAGCGAGCAGGCTGGCTTTGGTGGCTGCTGCACGTCTCTGGGTGAAATGAAGGTGAAGAATGTGCCTGAACGTATTCCCGGAGAAGGGATTTGGGGGAGGGAGAAACGGATCGTACAGAGAGCTGGGTAAATCCTGCCTAAGTTCTTTAGTAGCATCTCGGACCCAAACTGCTCAGACAGCAACAGCCCGGCTGGCTGTTTCACCTGAGCAATGCCACGGCATTTGACTGTAAAGCCATCTCTATATCCCCGCTGGCTTGTTTCTGGCTCCCCTCCCTAATTCACGGCAGTTTGTTCTGTGTTTAAGCCTTCCCATAAGACCGCTGTGGCAGGGAGGGGAGCAGAGAGAAAGGATGCAGTGATTTCCCATGCTGCCATTGATGGAAGATGCCTGTGAGACCATCCATCAGGTAGATGTTACACCTGTGGCAGCAGACAGCTCTCGAACAGGTGCTACAACTAACCCGTCATAGCCCCAAGGCAAGGAGCAGCATGGGCTACTGGGTCGGGCATTGTAGTCCTAGCTCTGCCACAGGCCTGCTGCGCGACCCTTTTGAGTTCCCTCCCAGCCATCCGCTCTTTAGATGCACACACATTGCATTGGGACAGTGTCTAACCACTGGGTGTTAGCACCCGGCTCAGTGTCGGTACCCAGCTCTCTCTGCACTGAGCCTTAATGGAGGCCGGGTCTCAGCTTCAGCCTCTTCTTGTGTGTGAGACAAAGAATAATACAGAGGAACCACAAAGCGAGAGTTTAACGTTGCTAGCAGCACAGAGCGGTGTCCCAGCAAAAGACCTACAACAAATTTCTGTCCAGAGAAATGGATCCAGCGTGGCCATACATGGGTCTGCGGTTAGTCAGGGTGACCTTGGAGTGTGAGTGGGACAAGAGGGACGGGGGACAAATTCACCGCCTCTCCGGGGCATCTGATCACTCGAGCAGAATTTGCAGTTGAGGACAGGATTTAAGTTGTCTGTATAACTGGGATGTGTCCTTTCTTTGGCCTGGGAGGATACCCTTAAAAATATTTTAAAGCAGCTGCACCCCCTCCACAACCACGGTCTTAGCGCTCACACAGAGCTCCGTAGACATTAACTAACCTCTGCGACTCTCTTTGTAGCCGTTTACAGGTGTGGAAACTGAGGCACTGAAAAACCGTTGTCTGTCCGAGGGCACACAGCAGGACAGTACAGAGTTGGGACGCAGCCGGTATCACAGCCCCCTGGTTTAACCACTAACCATTAACCATATTGCATCCAGGATCCAGAAACCCCAAACACAGCCCTCCCGGAGCTGGAATGGACCCAGGAGTCCTGGCTCCTAGACCCCTACTTTAACCACTAAACCATACTGCTTCCCAGCCTAAGGTGTTAAGCCTCCTGTTCCCCTGCTCTGACTCCCAGACATCGCCTCCCTCGCAGACTACGGGCTAGACCCCAGAAGTCCCAATTCCTGCCTCTAATCTTGGCTTTCCCGCTGCCTCGCTGTAAATGAACAGCTGCGTCTGCCCGTGGCAGGAGACCTGGAGCGCAACCGGCTCTTGCCAGGAGTCCAAGCTTGGAAAGACGTCAAGGATATCAGCCTGCTTACTTGCCTGGTGGGGGCTGGGAGAAGAAAGACCCATGTTTACAGCCAATTATTTCAACCATGAAATCCTGAGTCCCAGAGAGAGCTGTTGTTGCTATTACTGGTACTATTAGAGCAGCAGTGCCCCGGGGACCCCAATCAGGATCGAGGCCTGTTGTGCCAAGCCCTGTACCAGCAGTTGCTGACTCAAGGAACTTGCCAGTTACAAACGTGTTGCTTATTAGCTCTTAGTGTATCGTTAATGATTTCTTGTCGTCACCGGGAGGTGGGAGCTGCTACGTGGGGTGCATGTTGCATGAATCAATCCAGCGCCTCCTTGCTTTGGGATGACGATCCAGGTCCCCACCAAGGGCAGTGGGGAGGAAGAGGGTGCTGTGCTCCTAGGTCTGCCTGAGCAGAGGCTGTGCAGGAGTGCAGGTAACTGCGTGGGCTGAGTTGGGCCCCCTGCACTGAGCAGCAGTGAGCACGGATCCCATCACATGCCCATGCAGGGGGCTAGCACTGCACGGTGCAAGCTAGCCTTTTTAACAGACACCCCACAGCCTCTCCAAGCACCACTCCAATCCCTTGCCCCTGCCCACTCTGCTGCTCTGCTTTCTGCTCCCTGCCCTATCTGCCACGATGCTGCCTGTCCCCATCTCAGTCGGCTGCATGCTACACACAGAGGCTGCCCGTGCCTGTCTTGGAGATACGCGGTCTCGTGGGTGCTTAATGTGCCTTGCCTACAACTGTGGCAGGAGCCAGGATCAAACTGACAGGGGTAGGAGTTTGAGCCTCCGGCTTCCCAGCTCTCCAGCTGGATCGAAAACTTTCCTGAAGGCTTTTCAGCCCAGATCGGCAGTGAACGCAGCTGGCTAAAATATGCAGACAGGGTAAGCGGCTGCAAATCAGTGCTGTCCGAAGTGATTTTTAAGTGTCTCTGCACGTGGCTAATGGAGAGGATGATATTTCCCTCTAGCACTTAGCCGTGTTCATTCTGAAACTGTTCGGCGCGCCGAGGACAAAGTGCGGCTGCCGCGGTAAATGACACGTGCCTGCTACGGGGCAGCGGCTTCCAGCTCTGTTGCTCCTGGGCGACTGGACGGAGAAGATGAGATTATTGTTCACTCTGTTGTCAGCTGTTGCCCGGTGCCCTGGACTTTTGCTACAGGGAGCCTCAGTTCGGAGCTGATCGAGGGGCTCGGGTGAAGTGGCTTTGGTGATCTTCACTGA